CATTTTCCCCCCCCCCCCCCCCCCATGGCTTTCCAATTACAGGCCCGTCAGGCTGCTTGAAGTTATCTCACAACTCAGCAGCTCTGCTAACTTTTTCCACCAGCCTTCTTCCTTTCTGTGTTTCCTTTTGGATAGTTTCTACCCTGTGTCTTCAAGGTCACTAATCTTTTCTTCTGCAGTGTCTATTTTGCTTTTAATCTCATGCAGTGTATGTTCCATCTCAGACATTGTATTTTTATCTCTGGAAGTTCAGTTTGAGTCTTTTATCTGTCTTTCATTTCTTTCCTTAACAAGCTCCTCTTTTCCTCTATCCTTCTTGAGCAGATGGAATGTATTTTAATAGCCATCTTGATATCCCTGTTCACTTAGTAGACAATTATTCTACCACCTGTGTCATTTCTGGGTCTGTTTCTGCTGACTGATTTTTCTTTTTCACTGTGCAGTGTATTCTCCTGCTTTTTTGCATGTTTTATTTTTTATTGGACAGCAGACATTGTGAATTTGATTTTATCGGGTATTGGATTTAAACCCCCGCATTTTTTTCTTTATTTTGTTCTGGAATGCTATCAAAATTGCTTCTTGGCCTTTTGGCTAAGATTAAGTGTGGAAGGCTGTTGAAGTGCTTGCAACAGTTTGGTCTTTTTGAGGTCTGAATTTAAATTGCTAGGAAGGGGCAGAGCAGTCTTTTAGTCTCGAGCGAGTCTGGCCTCACTACTGAGTCAACAGCCTTCAGAGCACTCTACCCCGAGTCTGTGAATGATGAGGTTCCTCCACCCTCATCATTAGGAATGTGGTTTGCTTCCTGTCCTCTTCCAGTGGCTCTTTCCTCAGCCTTGGGCAGTTTTCTCCCACACAGGAGCTGTCAGCCTCAGCAGGAGCCTTGAGCGGCCTGTCTCTGCAGCAATTTCACTCCACTCAAGCATTTCAGTGTGCAAACTCCAGCTGCCTTGGCCCCTAATTCTCAACTGTCAACTCAGAGAGGTGCCAGCTCACTGGCTCCCCTCCGTGCCCTGCAGCTGGGAGCTCTCTGCAGGCAGTCCAGGGCAGCCCTGGGCTCATCTTGTTTGTTCCCTTCTCTCAGGGGCCACTGTCCTGCACTGGCTACTGTCCAATGTCTGCATATTTTATAGGGTTGGGTTTTTTTAGTTGTTTGAGAGCAGAGTGCAGTCCCAGTCCCTGTTGCTGCAGCATGGCTGGAAGCCCAACAAATATGAGTTACAAATAAATACTTATAATAAAATAGTCCCACCCCTCACAGAACCTATATGCAGTTAGGAGAGAACAAGTCAATGTTATTACATTCACTGGTGAAAGCTGGGGAGGGGAGAGGGACAGTGATGGAGGGTGCTATGCATTAGGGCACTGGGATGCTTCTCTGAGCCAAATCCAGAAAGAAACAAAGAGTGAACCGTACAGACATTCAGAGGAAGCTTTCCCCAGGCAGAGGAAGTGGGGGTGCTGAGCTGAAAGCTTGCTGAGCATGGTTCAGGAACAGCAGGAGGCCGGAGGCTGGGGTGGGTGAGCCCCCAGGAGGGAGGGAAGGTGGGGTGAGGTCAGAGGCTGTGGGGCCACTGGCTTCTATTTTTAGGGACATGGTTAGCTGTGGAGGGTTGGGAAAGAGGTGACAGATCCAGACAGAGGAGGACAGACTGCAAGGTGGCAGGGGCTGTGCAGTGACTCGACCAGTGATGGAGCAGCTGCTATAGCACAGCATTCCTGCGGGCCCGGGGGGGAGCAGGGCTGCAGAACATGGAGTGTGGGGCCATGGGGGGAGGTGCGCAGGGAGGTGAGGGAGCGTCAAAGTAACAGAAATGAGCGTGTGAGGTTGTGGTCTGCAGGAGCACACCTGGAAAGAGGCTTTGGGGCCCCTATGGGAAGCCAGGTGAGAGCTGGTGAGCCCTGACAAGGACAGCCAGCACATGGCTGACTTCCCATTCTGGTGCTTGTGGCACTCATGCCAGCCAAACTGAGATGGCCTCAGGATGCTCTCAGTGTCGGGAGGACCCCAGGCAGTCCCCTGTAGCCTGACCTGCCCAGTGGAAACTGCTGATCTGAGGGCCCCTCTGCCTGGATGTGCTGCAGTGCTCCTCCCCTGGCTCATGGCTGCAAACCCCACTCCGGCCCAGCTCCAACCCACTGCCTGCACACCACAAGCTTCCAAGGGTCAGCGCCACTTGCCCCTCAAAACTGGCCAGTGCGTTCCATAATGCCCACAGGAGCAGTGAGGGCTCTTCTCAGCTGTCCCCAGTGCATGGCCCCTGCCCCACCTCTGCCCCAGAGGACCTCTCTTCCAGTCCAGGGCTTCTCAGTGGGGCTGAGGGTTGATGGCCCACCTCCCCAAAGGCGGCCCTCGGGGGTCTTGCGTGTGGGGGCAGTGCTCACATGGCCTGCGCCTCTCGTGTCCTCCAGCCCCACCCCTCCTGCCCATTGCTCTTCCTCCAAGACCCCACACAAACACCACCTACCCAAAATACAGCCAGAAGAACCGTCGCCCCCACAGCACTGCTGGGGACATCTTCCCTGCTGACCAAAGCTCCTGGAGGGCAGGGGCTGTTAGTCACCGGAGGCCCCAGCCATGCACGTGCCAAAAAAGCAGAGTGGACCAGGAAGCAAATGGATCAGGGCATGTGACAGGAATGTCAGGGACAGTTCTGGAACACCCCTTTTCATGAGGAGGTCTGGCATGCTGGCCATGCTCTCTGGAATCACAGAGCCAGGTGCAAGTCCTTCCTCCCTGCTTACTGGCTGGGTGAGCTTGGGGGAGGACACACTCTGGGCCTCAGTTCCCTGACGTGTAAGGGGGGATGATAAGTCGGGTTCCCTGCATGGTGCACAGTGGGGATGCAGGAGCAGACACAGAGCCGGGGCGCAGCAGCACCTGTGCCCTCCTGGCTCACATGCTTCCTCTGCAGAACTGTGAACATGCATGAGATCTCTTGTGCAAATATAAAGAGTTTATTTGCTTGTCATTAGGAATACAAAACATAATATATAAAAGCCATCCCTCCCACTTGCCCCACGGTTGTCAAGGCCTGGTGCTGGTCGTCCAGAGAGGGTGCCGTCGCCGCGGCCCTTGGGAACGCCCTCAGGCCTCAAACATGGCACAGCTGGCGCACAGTGCTTTCTCACAGACGTCACTGCAGCTGCGACAGTGCCAGGGAGGAGAGAAGAGCTGGTGTTAGGGCTGAACTGTGTCCCCATTCACATATTCAAGTCCTAACCTGCAGCACCTCAGAATGCGACCTTATCTGCAAACAAGGTGGCTGCAGAAGTAACTGGTTAAGATGATGCCTACCGGAGCAGGGGGCCGACCCAACATGATTGGTGTGCTAGAAAGAACGACCCGTGCGGAGAGAGACACACATGGAAGGATGACACCAAGACACAGGGTGGAGATGCCACCCATGAGATGCACCAGAGGCACCAGGCACCACCAGAAGCCATCCAGAGGCCCAGGCCAGACTCTCCCTCTCAGGCCTCGGGAGGGACGAACCCTGCCCGCACCCCTGTCCCGGACTCCTGGCTTCCGGAGCTGCCTGTTGTTTAAGCCGCTCGGTCCTTCGTTACTGCAGCCCGAGCAGACTCAGCTGATAAGCCCACTTGTGGCCCAACCTGGGTTTCAAATGGGACAGAAGCTTCCACGAAGCCTCCACAGACACCTCCCAGATGCCCTGTCAGAATTCAGTGGACTGTGATGGTCTACGTCGGAAGCATGTCAAATAGCAGTTTCTTCTGCTGTACCAAGACTCTATGGGTTAAGATTAGGACATCCAGCAGATCACAAGGAGAAATTTCTCAGGAAAGATATTAAAAGGACACAAAATTAGCAATATGCTACACAAAACACAAGCAGTGTAGTCTACATTGACAAAGAAGTCAGAACTGCCGTGCGGGCAGCCCCAGCCAGCTCCTGCCACTCGCCCTGTCAGCAGCTTGCCCGTGCCCTCGCAGAGGTGGTACCAGGAGTGGGGCAGCACAGGGTCACCAGGCAGGACAATGATGGCCGGCTGGGCTGCATTTTAGTTAAACCAGAGCTAGGGGAGAGAGCCGCTTGTTCTCCGTCCCAAGTGCGGCTCACCGTCCTGAACCAGGGAGCGAGGGGCTGTGCCGGGCGGCAGGGGAAGGGGCAGGAGATTGGGGGCGCTGCTGGCTCCAGCCTGTGGCCCAAAGCAAGTCCTTTATTTGTGAAAGAGGGCAGAGAGCCCACATCCAGGGCTGTGGCCAGGAAAAATGAGCGTGGCCATGTTGGGTCAGTGGCCCACTCAGACATGGCAACATGAATTCTGGGGCTCCCAGGGAAGAGGAGGAAGAAAGCAAGTACAGGCCAGGAGGAGACCCGCACAGAGCAGTGGGGAGCCCTGCGAGGACACTGCGGACCCAAGCGGGTTCCAGCTGCAGGGCCCTGGGAGGAGGAACCCCCTCCCCGCAACCTGCCCTCCTGCTGTGTCCACATCCTCCTCAGCGAGAAGGCACTGGACCCGGAGAGGACCCTGCCCTTCTCAGTTTATGCATAAGTAGGGAGAGAAGGTCAATTAGATTGGTGAAAACCAAAGAAAGAGCATCTGCACTGGCGACTAGCCCAACACACAACCCCACACTGCGCAGTGTGAGTCACCTGCTGCCTCATAACCCTCGCAAGTGGCCACAGGGACTTCTCCCTAGTGTGCCTGCCCCTGCCCGTGGCCCCCCCCAGTCTCCATTCAACAAGCCCAGGCCTCTGCCCCAACTGCAAGGACTCGTGATGTGCCACGGGTGTTTCAATCTGACATGGTTAGTTTTAGAAACTGGTGGGACCGAGCTTGTATTGGAGCTACAGAGATGGTTCCAGGTGAGTTTGGGTGAACTCATCTTTCTTACAGAGCAGGACACATAGACTCTGCACTGTCTACTCCCGCCTGCCAGCCACGAGCAGCACTGCAGTGGGAACAGCCCCCCAGCACCTTAAGACTAAGTACCGGGTCCAGCCAGCTGAGGCAAACGCACACACAGTGATGGACAGAGCAGTCTCTCCATGTCCTCTTAGGAGACAACCATAACCAACCAGACAACCAACCAGACAAACATAAACGTGGTAGAAACTGCCACATGCACCTGCTGTCATGTATCAGAGATGCATGAATAACTAGCACACAGGAAATAAACCTGTGACAAAGTGCTGGCTGGAGAAGCCCTAAAGGGAGGGTGCAGAAGACCACAATGTGCAGCTCGAGGACAGGAGACTGCAGCCAGACAGAGCTGGTAATCTGTGCGATCTGAGCTTCTTTTAAGACAAGAATGGGCAAAGCATTCATCGCCAGCATATTTGCCAGGCAACACCAGATGGCCACGTGTCAGGGGCCTCCTGCGCGGGGTGCTCTGGGCCCTGCCCCAGGTGGACAACCCTCCCATCCCCACACATGGCACCTGGGGGTTCCCCCCACACACTCCCTGGGGTGACAATTTTGGCAGCAGCCCAGATGGAAGCACTTACTCCACGAGGCTGCACAGGGCGCAGGCCACAGCTCCACAGCCCCAGCAGGTGTGCATACAGCGCCTGCACAGGGCCCGCTCGCATTGGCCGCAGACCGCCTTCCCGTCCACAGCTCGCACACATGAGGAACAGGCGATGGATGCTGCCCCGGACAGGTCTGTGAGGAAGAAATGCCACACTGTCAGCCCTGGAAGGAGACTGAAAGAGCTGGGGGCTGATGGCCACCCGCCTTGTCGAGTACCCAAAGGCAGAGGACTCCAGTCCCCCTCGCCTGCCCTGTCTCTACCACCGGATCCTTTGGACAACGCACAAGCAAGCACGGCACACAGGACCCCATGCTATCAGAGAGGGTGCCCACTCAAGACATGCCACTGACCATTCACATGACCACAGGTTCAGTACTCCTTCCCTTACCCAGTGTCCTCCACTACCTGGGGCCCGTACCAAGAACCAGCTCTTCTCCTGACTGCCTCCAAGAAGTCTGTGTCCCATCTGCATCTCGAGGTGTGGCTCACAGCTCCTGGTTTAGCAAAGAGGTTCCTGAGCCCCTCCCACACCCACCGACCAGACTCAGGGGTGGAGCTGAGGGCTTTGTCTCTTTAACCAGAGACAGGATGGTCTGAGACTCACACCACACAGGGACCTGACCAGCGTGTTCCCACCCACGGGGGATCACCTGGAAGAGTGGCAGGTGGAAAGCCAGAGGGATACCCAGCTGAGTCTCTGCCCCTTTTCTGGCCCAGTAGTTAGAAGCTGCTTAACAAGTTCCAGTGGACTTCAGTCAGGTCAGAACTCTTCCTGACAGGAGCTTTCCGAGCCACCCGAGCCCCATGTCGGCCTGACTTCACACTCTGGCCCCATTCCCACTTGCCCAGGTCAGAAAAGTCCCAGGCAGACGATCTTGTGAATAGAGAAACACGCTTCCGCCCTGCACCTTCAGTGGCACTCACCACCCTCAGAGGCCTGAAGAAGGCCCCGGGTCAGTCGCCCATCCGGTCCGATCAACATCTGACCACGTGCAACCCGCGGGGCCCCTGTGGGGCCGGGCTTCGGGGACTCTGGCAGGAGAACGATGGCACAGCCTTCATCCCATGTGTGGTCCATGTAGGCCTGTGCTCCGCGAAAAAGGAGTTGCTTGGTCTTCTCTGGGGAAGATAAACCATTCCTCACGTTTACACCTGTGCAGCATAAGAGGCCCTGGCACAGCCATCTGGTCCTTCATGCCTCACAAAGGCCCTATCAGGTGGTCACAGTGAGTCGTCCTTTGTGTTCTGCCCATGCTGTCTTCTGGCAAGCTGGCTCCTGCTCTGCCTACATGCTCTTCCCTCCCTCCTTACGTGGCTCAGCTGCCACCTCCTCCAGGAAGGTTCTGAGCCTGCAGCCCCACCTGATTCCCACACAAGAGCTCCTTCTCCTGCCACTATGCAATGACACCCAGTATGCGGCCTCCCAGCTGGCCTAACCTCGCTGGGCTTGTGCCCCTTGCCTCCCCCCCCTCTCAGCACTCCTCATTCCAAGCTGGCTCTGTGTAGAGCAGAGGAAGCTCTGCACTGTGGAACGTTCATTCACAAAAACAGGTGCCCCCGCAAGGAGATAGGAAGCAGCCGAGGCTCAGAGCTGGCTGGGCCTACAGCCCGAGGCCCGTTTGCATCATCTTCAACTACTGCAGGGCTACCGGCAAAAGACGTGGCAGCCACCAGCTCCTAACAAAGGTATCCCAGCCTCTTCCTGACCTCTGTGGTTTTTGGACACCCACCCATTCCTGGGAGCTGAAGTGGCTTTCTATCAGGCTACATGGTGGTCACCCAGGGAGCTTTACAAAATCAAATGCCTGGGTGCCAGACCCAGAGATGCTTGGTTTTTTTGTTTTCTACCTCGCCCCAACACTGCCAGGGTAGAAATCCTAGAAACTCTGCATGGCTCTACGTGAAATCGGCAACAACTCTCATAAGGTAACTCAAATGGAGTGGCTGGTGACAGCTCAGTTACACCCTGTGTCTCATCCCCCTCTCTTGTTTACAATGGGCTCAAAATGGGGGGAAGGGGGGCCACGTGACGAAGCTAATCCTTGTTCTCAAGGACTGTGGTCCATCCAGGGTCAAGACACCAGGGTGACAGCTGAGTTCACACTGGGCATCCTGCACTTACCATGGAATGCCCAGTGAGCCCAGTACCCCTCCCTGACCCGGCCCAGTGAGTGACAAGCCCCTGCAAATGCTCTAGGATGGGGGTGCTCAAGGGAGAGGGTAAAGGCCTTAGTCCCCATTTCTATTTAATTCTTTTTTGCCTGCAAAGTGTCTAAATTCTTTGAATGTTCTTAGAGAGGGCGCACACATGCAGTTCAGCTGCAGATCCCACGGCTTCCCTCATCTTATCACCTGCATGGCCTTGGAAAGCACTTGAGTTTGTAACACTGGTGCAGGAGAGAAAGGGCAGGGCAACTGCTGATGTTGGGGAAGAAGCTGCCAGAGGAAGAGGACCAGAACTCGAGGACAGGGGTCCTTCTGAAGGCTGGGCTCTTTCCCACACCCCCAAGGCACGAGCGGCACCTCTCAATGACATACATCTCTGGTCACTTTCAAGGTGCTCTAGGTAAGGTAGGCCTCACTTTGTACCTGCGGTGGAGAGTTAACCGCCCCAGTCAAAGGGATGATCGATAATATTAACATGCCTACAAGTCGACATGAGAAAGTCCGACGAGAAGGCCTGTGGGCTCACCGCCCTCACGTCCCACCTTGAACTGGATACCAGCCTCCTGGACTCACTCTTCCTCTCTAACCTGTACTCACCCTGCACGAGTCGGCTTAGACTGTTGCTCAGGAGACTTTCTCTGACACCCCTGCAGGTGCTCCTACAGCAATCTGTGCCCGCCCTACTCACCCCTGGCGACTCCTTCTGCTGGTCTCCCCCACTAGGCGGGGGAGCCAGCTCTGTCTTCCTTGCCTCTGGGTCTCGGGCCGGCTGCAATGCCTGGCAGGGATGGCGTGCTCCACAATACCTCCCGGGTCAGAAGAGGCACCTTCGCCGGTTCACTCTATCCGGGACACCCCTCTCCCCACCCTGTCCTCGGGCCTGAAGGGCCCAGGTGCAGAGAGCGGGGCATCCTGAGGAAGCGGCACGAGGCCCCGCTCACCGTGGGGCGGTGACCGTCGGGCCCGTGAAGGAGGGCGTGAAGTCATTCACGTCCCCAGGCCCCGGCGTGGCAGCCCGTTTCCCCGCGGCCCCAGCTCCGGGGACCCCGGAGCCCCTGCTCAGGCCGCCGCCTGCTGAGGACGCTGAGGGTGCCCAGCGGCGCGCCCGGCACTCACCGAAGATCTCCCGCGAGTAGCGCTCGGCGCACGCGCCGCGGCTCAGCTCCTTCGGGCCCACGCGCACCTTGAGCTGCAGCGGGGCCGCGTCCGCGAAGGGGCAGCCCCGCTTGGGCATGGCCGCGGGGCCCGCAGCTACCACCTC